CTTGGGGTCTTGCAGTAGATGACAGAGATTGGACTCAACTCCAAATACAACAAAGAAACGTGGGAATTAATAGCCAAGGAGCAGGGTGGGGTTCAGTGGATAGAAAATTACTGAGAGGAAGCATCAGGGTTAAGGGGATGTTCTGGCTAAACCAACCTAACAGAGTTCCTACTGAAGGCAAGGACATCACCTGGGGGTGGGGAGTGGGGTGGAGGATGAAGAACTGGATCAGATATTGAGGATGGGGAATTCTGGTTAAAATGACTTAGCAGGAATCTTACTAAAATTGACAATACAGAGACAACCATTAAGCCCAAAAGGCAGCCTAGTTGAGAAAAGAGTTCAGAAGAGCATAAATAGTTTGGTCAAGGAGAGAATCTTTGTTAGTGGTGATGTTCTAGAACCTTAATAAAGAATAGAAGAGAAGGATATAGAAGAAAGAATTACAGCCTGGGATATACTGAGTATTAGTTCTCTGGGACAACAAAGTAGGGAAAGTGCAGTAGGCAGTTGGAGTTTGGAGATATGTAGATATAGATAGATATATCTTAGCATGCAGGTAATTAAAGCCAGGAGATCTCCCAGGTGTGAGAATGAGAGCGCTCTCCCAAGTGAGCAAATGAAAATACAGCTAAGATCAGAATCCTGAGAGAACATCCAAAGTACAAACAGAAAGAGAAACATGAAAGAATTAGAAGGACCTCCCAAAAATTGAAGTGGAAACCCGGAGCTTCCATGGCTTTAAAAACCAAGGAAAAGGATTTCATAAGGCAGTGACGAACTACAAATGTTACTCAGATGTGAAATAAGATTAAGTCTGAAAGTTGCTCAATGGCTTTAGCAATTAAGACAATTAAGTGAGATTCGTAAAAGCAACTTCGTGAAGCAGAAGAGCCAGAAAGCATATTACTGTGGATTGAAGTTTAAGTGGTAGAAGAGGAAAGACATTGTGTGTGGTGTGAATAGGTACTCTTCGTGGACTACTACAAATCAGACTATTACAAATGTCTAAGGATGAAATAGTAGTTAGAAAGTGGTGTATGGAAAAGGTTTCTGTTTTTTCATGGTTTTATTTTGGGGGTTTTTTATGGAGGAGG